TCTTTTTTTTTTTTTTTTTTAAGATTTATTTATTATGTATACAGTGTTCTACCTGCATATATGCCTGCAGGCCAGAAGAGGGCACCAGATCTCATTATAGTTGATTGTGCACCACCATGTGGTTGCTGGGAATTGAACTCAGGCCCTCTGGAAGAACAGCCAGTGCTCTTAACCTCTGAGCCATCTCTCCAACCCGGCTGGACAGTTCTAACAAGCTTCATCTGGAACAAACTTGTGTCTAGATCATCCTTCTAATAGGCTCTGTGGACTGGACAAAGCAGGAGACACAGGGATGGGCCAAAACCCTGTCCTTTAGCAACAGCAGGACCCTGGGCATGGAGAATGTGGGGTACTCACTGCAGAATCTGAGGAAGTCTGACTGTAGCTCCTTCCGCGTGTTCAAAAACATCCTTCCCTTCTCGGTGCCCATCACAAAGACGCTTTCATTGTGTACCGCCACACAGGCCACCTCCGTGTTCAGCTTGGAGAGTGCGGAGCACTGTCAGGGAGAGGAAAGGTGTGTGAGCTAAATCAAGAGAAGCCTGGAACCCACCACTTGGGAGGCTGAGAAAGAATAATGAAGAGTCTGAGGCTAGCCCTAGCTACAGAGATTGGGCTATTGATGAGAGATGAGCCCTCCAGCCCACTTGGCAGCCCTCTCTAAGCAGTAAAAACAGCACATGTAGCCTGAAAAACATGGTAGTAGAATTTCAATATTATGGTTATAGAAAGGGCTGTCAAGATGGCTCTACAAGGAAACTGCTTGTCTTCCAAGCACAAAGCCCTGAGTTTGATTACCATGTGTCTGGCCTCATCTAATCTCAGAAGCTAAGCAGGGTCGGGCCTGGTTAGTATTTGGATGGGAGACTCTCACCTTGATCTCAGGCCCTCTTCCCACCTGGCCAGACACTCACCATAGAGTCTAAGGCGGACACCAAGCTGTTGATGAGTTCGTCTTTGCGGGCAAAGGAGTTCCAGCGCTCAGACCCGCAGCCGTTGGTGGGGATGTCACAGAGCTTCCCCAGCAAGGCCATGGTCACCTAGAGAAAACAGTGAGGACAGAGTGAGTATCAGTCAGACACATGGTACAACGGAATAGGCACACCTGGCTCCGAAGGTCACCTGGACTTCACAAGTGGGACAGAGTGTTAACTGGCCTTCCTTCCCATCATTCAGTGGCCTAAAAGGTTTGACAGGAATTTTGAGTTTTCACAGGCCAGGAGACAGCAGCTACTGAAAAAAAAAAAAAAAAAACCTGCAGAGATCTAGTTAATAATGTATAACTACTTCCTCTCATTTGAAACATTTTCAGAGAATTTAAACATTTCCTCCCAGAGGGAGGTGCTTGAAACTCAAGAACAAAGCAACTTATATAACTCAGAAAACTCACAAAGCTCAAGAAACTCATAAGGCTCAGGAAGCTTACAAGATCCAGGAAACTTAGAAGCTCAGGAAGCTCTGAAGATTCACAAGGCCCCTTCCAAAGTTTGTAAGTGTGAGGCGATGGGCAGGGATACAGGACACTCTTCTGTTGAGTTGTCTGTAGCTCATGCAGAGTTCCAGAGAGGCAACTTTCTGTGAGCTGCATCAACCACACTGAGGTGGGCTTTTTGATGAGTCACCCCCATCACAGTAACCCTGTATCCACCATTGTGGTGGTTTGAATGAGCATGGCTCCCACTGGCTCACATCTGAATGCTTTATCCCCAGTTGGAGAGATGTTTGAGAAGGATTAGAAGGATTAGGAGGTGTGGTCTTGTTGGAGTAGGGTGGCCTAACTGCAGGAAGTGTATACTGTGATGTTTCAAAAGTTCCCTGCCTGCTGCCTGTGGATTAGGACTGTGAAGCTCTCAGCTACCATTCCAGGGCCATGCCTGTCGGCTTCCTGTCGTGATGCCCAAGCCTCTGAAACTGTAAGTGAAGGGACCAGCTCCCCATTTCGGCAGCCATGACAGTAACATGTGCTGGCCATGACCAAGACTGAGTCACTAGAGGTTAGGTGCCTGCCTCGTGACAAGGAACCAATCAGAAGTTAGCTGGTGGCGCTATGCTTTATGACCCTGGGTCCGCACAGCAATGACGCACAGAGCATAGCAACCACCCTGGGAGGGCCTATGGGTCATAACAACCAGTTGGCCAATCAACACAGGGCAAGCCCTCCAAGCCTGGAGGCACACCAATCCTGGGCCTGTGCGTACCCCTAGACACTCCCTTTACGCTGCCCTACAAGATCTCTCGGGAGCCCCTAGGAGCTGTCTTTTGGAGCCAACCGCCATGGTGGGTGGACAAAAGACCCGAGCTAACATGGGGTTAGCTCGTTAAATTACAATAAAGCCTCATGCAGTTTGTAGCAAGCTCTCGAATCTGCCTGGTGATTGGGGTGATCTGATTGGTCATGGCCTGGGACCCCCGGATACCTCAGTTTTCCGGGGGTCTAACATAAGCAAGCCTTCAATCAAATGCTTTTTCTCTACAAGTTGTGTCTCCTCACAGCAATAAT